CAGGTTTCTGGCTATTGGATCTCATCAGAGTTTTGCAGGCTCTGTACCTCAAAATGGCTTGCCCTAGAGGCTTCCTGAAAAATCAAGAAATGGGTAGATAAGGCCATAATTAGGTGAGTATTCTAAAACATGTCAAAAGTAAAGAGTTGCCTATTTTTACTACGCAAGAAAATAAGACCAAATCCAAATAAATTAATAGTGTGTGACGTTCTGGTAACAGCATTGTGTTACCATCATCAGACACAAAAGAATAAAATCTATTGGTAACAACGCTGTTACCGAAACGTCCCACACTATTAATTTATTTGGATTAGGTCTTATTTTCTTGTAGCTATAATCTATAATATAAATTGTACTTTTATCATTTTTACTAGCCAACTTTCTCTCTTTTTCTTCTATTTCCTTTCCTTTTCATATTAGAGTGATTGTAATATTTGGGGATGGAGGATGCAATAATTGATATGGGTGACATGTTGATGATAAACAGAGATAAGAGGTGAAAGAGCCATGTTGTGGTAAGCCAGCCTTGTATATAGAGGTACATAGTTGGTACATAGTTGGTACATAGTTGTATATAGTTGGTATATAGTTGTACTACAACATGGTTGAGACCAAGTGACAGTTTTGATAACAATGCTCTTTGAGGTAGAGTCAGCATCCCATTGATGGGGGGGGGGAACAGACAACCTGAAATAAGTAGGTGGTTGGATATTTTCTTATTTACAGTAGTACAACTTCCCTGTAAAGGACAACACCTAATTGCAGAGCCAAATTGTCCTTTAGGGAGAGAGAGATAGAGATTAAAACTACTTTATTCTAAAGTCCATATAAGATTATATAAGGTTAAATACAGAATAAATATGATTATATATTGATAAATATAGGAAAAATAGAAATAAATAGATGAAAATAATTGATAAATATATATATATATATATAAAAATATATACAAGGTCTTCATTGGTGGTGCCCACTGCTGGAAAGACTCCGCCACCGATGGACTGCAAGAGTTCTCTCCCACAGGGAGAGAGAGATTGAGATTGAAACTACTTTGCCACCGATGGACTGCATGCTTTCAATGCCCATATAAGATTATATAAAGTTAAATACAGAATAAATATAAATATGAATAAATATGATTATATAATGATAAATATAGGAATAAATAGATATAAATAGATAAAAATAATTAAAATAAAGAGAGAGAGAGGTGTCCTCTTACCAGAGAGTTATTAAATTGTAAAAAAGGTAATTTGACAAATGAAAACTGTCCTTTGTGGAGAGGTGTCAACTAGCAGTGTGTCTGCTAAAGGGAGGTTCTACTGTATATATAATTTACCAAGAAGATGGGTTGACCAAACCCCTGAAATGAACTTAAATCAATGTTTAGTTGATATTCATTCCAGTAGATGGCACTATTTCCTATCTAAAATACTTATTTGAATAGCTTAGTATTTCTTATTGATTGCCTCAAAACCTCAGACATCTCAAAGGATAGGTTATTATTTAGACAGTACAACCAAACTTCAGCACACACACACACATCTTATACATATTCTTTTTTTTAATTTACATCACCTTTCTTTTCTCCATGAACTCCATGACTTCCATCTTTCAAATCAAAGCCAGCACTTGATGCTTGAATAGTCTTTCAATATTTATATAAGGGAAATATATGAAAAGTCTGGTGAGAGAGAACAATTAAATCATATTCCTAAAATCCCAATGTGCCATTGCTGACTAACAAAAACAATGGTAAAGGTTGGTCAAATGTATTTAAAGTCCATATTCAGAGAACAAAGGAGGTTATATAATGACATCCCCTCACCCCTACAGACACACAAAAAAGTCCCACAAAGGTAATGATGTAATAGAGTGTTGATAACATATTTATCTAGTGTTGGGCAATGACCGCCCACATGGTATAATAGAAAGCAGCAGTATTGTTACTGACTGATATGACAGAATATACACCTGAACAAATAACTATGTGATAGAAACATTCCTCTTTTTATATATTTTTTTATCCCTAGTACACGTGGTATAGGCCATGAGAATCATGGTGGATAGAAGTTGGTGACTGCTTATACTATAAGTGCACCCACATGTCTCTACACCTGTGAAAAGCAGTTCAACTTTTGCTCTTACAAGTGTACCAATAGCCCTGTTTGGTTACTTGCACTTTCTGGTGGGATTGAACTTTTGCAAGAATTCGGGGGCCATTGGAGCATCTTTTATTAGAAAAAAAATTGCCCAATACAAGATTCAATCCAGGATTATTGCGGTCAAAAACCAACAGTTTAGACCACTCATCCACCAACCCCCATATTCCTGATTACAATGAAGTACAACCATCTCCAATATGGAGGTCAACCATCTCACGTAACATCACCCTGTTCTCAATTCTCTTCATAGCTTTGAATGTCAGACCATTCAGATTAGCAAATCAATCCTTCCTTTGTCTACCTCTCCATTCTTCAAGGTGTATCCCATAGAAACAATGGTGCTGTCATAAGGTCAGAGTCCATAACTGATATTAATACCCTTTTAGATCAGTTTACTTTTGTTGTTGATGTTTTTTTGCTTATCCCTAGTACATGTGGTACAGGCCATAAAAATCATGGTGGGTAGAAGTAGGCAACTGCTTTTACTGTAAGTACACCACATGTCTACACATGTGAAAAGCAGTTAGACTTTGCACTTACAAATGTGCCAGAACCCCATTTTTGGTTACATGCACTCGCTGGTGGGGTTGGACTTTTGCAAGAATCAGGGCCATTGGAGCTTTTTTTTTTTTTAATAAGAAAAAAAGTGCCCAATGCGGGAATCGAACCCAGGTGATAGTGATCGAAAACCAAGTGTTTAGACCAGCCTTCCACCGACCCCATTTGATGTTGTTTTCCTTCCAGAAATAGAATCTTTATACTGAAATCACAACTTTTATTAATTATAACTTTTGGTGGAAGGCCAAAAAAAAAAGAAAAAAGTACCATTTAAACATTATTCCCAATAAATGTGAAAAACTATATGGACCAAATATCTAATCTACAAATTGGAGAATATTTGTCAGTCACCAAAAGTTGAGATTTGATGGATGCCAACAACAACAACCTATTAACATTTGGTATTTAAAATCCTCAAAAATTCCACCAAACAATAATTAGTTGTTAATTATTGATAATTGGGTGGTAAATTGCTTTCTCTCTGAAAGTATTAATTAGCCCTTTTTGTTGCCATTCACTCGTCTTTGTGCTGATATTGAGAGTTAAGTCAAAGCTAATTGGACCAACAATAAAATTCGGCGGCATCGATAATTTGAACATTTCTTAAATCAAATTTAGACAAAAACATCAAGTTCTTCTTGAATTAAATTTAGACAAAATCATTAGTTGAGTGTTAAAACAAGGTAATAAGACCAAATCCAAATAAATTAATAGTGTGTGAAGTCTCAGTAACAGCGTTGTTACCATCTTCAGACAAAAGTATTGAATGAGAAATATTACCACAGCATGTTTTAATAAGATAATAAGAACAAATCCAAATAAATTAATGGTGTGTAATGTTTTGGTAACAACACTAATACTGAAACGTCACACACCATTGACTTATTTGGATTTGGTCTTATTACCTTGTTTTATAATCTATAATCCAAATTGTGCCTTATCTAGTTGAGTGTTTTTTAAATACAAATTCACCACTAAATATTGCGGCATTCTGCAGCAGTGCAGTGGTAGAAGAGCCGTAAAAGAGAAGAAGAACAAAGAAAAGTGATAAAAATGTTATAAGGCACAATTTGGATTATAAACACAAGGTAATAAGTGTACACAACTTGATAACAGTAACTATTTAAAACATGCTGTGGTAAAATTTCACATTACTTTTGTCTGAAGATGGTAACAATGCTCTGTTACCGAAATGTCACATACTATTTATTTATTTGGATTTGGTCTTATTACCTTGTGTTGAGAAGAATGTTAAAAATTAAGGTGTGAAATGCAGAGATAAATAACAGCTATTACAGTAGATGCCTCCTTATAACAGCCTCTTTTATAACTGCAACTTGGTTAGAAAATCCTAATTGCCCCTAAATTTTAAATTCACCATTTTTTTACCTGTGGTTACAATGCAACAATAGGGCTATAGGAGAGCATAAAAATAATTGGTTCCAAGTAAAATTGTTATAGCGTGGTTTGATTTTAAAATAAAACAAAGAAAAAGATAGAATAGCAGCGACCAACACGCTAAATCTCACAGATAAGAGAATTTTTAAAAATCTACTCAGTAAAACTTTCTTGAGAGGACACCTCCTTACAAAGGAGCATTTTCATCACCAAAATTATCTTTTTTTTTTTACTATTGAGCAACTCTCCGTAAGAGGACACTTCTTTCTAAAGGACACTTTGGCTCTTCATCTAGGTGTCCATTACAGAGACGTGTTCTAATGTTATTAGCCTTCTCCAGGAAAAAAAAAAGAGAGAGAGAGAGACATAGAAGAAATTTCTAGGTGAAGAGCAAACAGAGAGAGAGGCCCATGTAAAATAAGAATCAATATTTGGTGTTGTACCACCATCAACCAAGGTGATGTAATGTGTGGAGGACTAGGTTGGATGAGGGCCAACTAATGGACTAATGATGTGGCCCAGGGAATTCACTGCCTCCCTGCTGCTGCCAACATCTGAAGAGATGGATGATTTGTTACCTTGGACAGGATGCACATCTTTTAAATTGGCCGTGAATCTTTTGGAGACTGGGGAAAAAAGATCTCTTGGACAGAAGATAAAAGGCCCATAAGGGCACAGTTATTTCTTCAAGAAAAAAATAATTGCTAACTCTCTTGTGACCTTAGAATTACGATGTTTTTATAAAAATAGATTGTTATAATGAGATTCTGTTGTAGATGCAAAAAAAAAAAGAAAAACTAAGCTCATCTATAAATTCGTTGTTAGTCACTCATCACTCTAAAGGTTGCTAGTAAAACTCCTGTTAGGGGGCTAGCTGGAGGTAGCGTGGCCAAGCAGTTTAAGGTGCTGGTTTAAGGCACCAGTCTTTTCGGAGGTATGGGTTCAAAACCCACTGCTGCCACTTTTTTTGTTGCTGGTAAAAAAAAAAATGTGCTAAAGATGCTGAAGACAATGGTGCTGCAAATGTCACTATAGAAACAGAGTTTTACTGCTTTGAGAATAAGTAGCGATTGAGAAGTAGCTTCTTGAGAGGAGAAAGAAATGATCACACAGAAACAAAGATATCTTCAACTCTATAAGATAGAAAGATTGACTGTGTCAGTGTACATATCAGTAATGAATAATCAATCCAATTGTTGCTATGTTGGCAAGACAACACACACTCATTAGACATTAACGATTCATATGGCGGCTATGTAATATCAGATGTGAAGGTGGGAGGGTAGCAGGACATTTTCTATTTATCCAATACCTCCCTTAAGATTTTTATTTAAAAAATGTTCTCAAATGCCTTTGTTTTTAAAAAATATCATCTGAGTTAAAGAAGAGATTAATGGAAGAATCAATGAATGCTTGCTCTCTGATCACCATGTAGTGGGAGGGAGGGGAAAAAAAACACAATTATTAATCAATGAAAAAGAAAAAAACTATTTATAAAAAAAAAGCTAACACCTCCTTTAAAAATGAAACAATAAAAAAGATTAATACCGTCATCTCATTATCTATAATTGATTTTTAAAAATTGAATTATTTCCTGCCGAAGATATAGTAGAACCTCCATTAGAGGATATCCTTGCTATAGGACACCTCTCTACAAAGGACAGTTTTCATTTTCAAAATTACCATTTTTTTTACTATTTGGCAATTCTCTGGTAAGAAGACACCTCTCCCTTGATAAGGCACAATTTGGATTATAGATTTTAATACAAGAAAATAAGACCTAATCCAAATAATTTAATAGTGCGTGACGTTTCGGCAACAGCATTGTCACCATCATCAGACAAAAGAATAAAATTATTATTAATGATTTTTTTTTAATTCTTTTGTCTGATGATGGTGACAATGCTGTTGCCGAAATGTCACACACTATTAAATTTTTTGGATTAGGTCTTATTTTCTTGTATTGACACCTCTCCCTAAAGAACAATTTGGCTCTGCAATTAGATATCTTTACAGGGAGGTAGTTCTACTGTGTATTGTGAAGATTACAGTTAAGAGTCACCAATGACTTAGCCTAAGAGATTTTCAATTAAGAGTATTGGAGCAATTAAGAGAAGCCAATCTACAAAGAGAAGTTGTTGACCTTTATCTGTAGTGGCTAACATTGTTATATACATCATTATTGATTGAATGACTTCGGTAAAAGAAAGGCATCTTTTTAAATGCATCAAAAAGAATCAATGTTAAAAGAAGTAGAAATAAAGAAATACTAAAGAGATTGAGAGCAATTTTATTGTATAGAAAATGGAAAAACACAAAACAAAAAAGTTTTTTTTTTAAAACCTTTGTCTGAGGTTGTGAGCTACCAAAATGTGCTCTTTCTCAATGGGCTAATCCAGTTGAAACTTTCAATGGAAGCCATTTGTCTAGAGCTCTGAAAAAAAAATAACCATAAAAATTTTCCATTGAAACTTTTTCCTAAACAACCACCACTTGGCCAGCTCCATAACAACTAAATTTTGTCAAAAGCATTTTCAAACTATGCATGCCCAGGGTAACAAGACAAGGCAAATGTAATACCTGATGTTATGAATACATATTTTGTTGCTGAAACATCACCTATAAATTACTTGTTATCTTGCCATTCTTTATCATTAATCTGAATTGTGCCATATCAACAAACACTTGGTATTTCTTAGCATTGTTTTCATCTGATATCCCATGTACAAAATGCATCATGTTGAAGCCTTCCCAAATTCACCAAAATTTAGTTTCTACAAATGTCTCCGATGGTGACATACGGTAAAAAGCTAGTAGTGACAATTTTTTCACATTCACCTGACAATTTAGCTATATGGTAGCTCAAAAAAAAAAGGTTAACAATTAATGTCAACATTGACACAGTCCAACTTTTTTAGTCCATTTGCAAATGACTTTTACCAAGGTAAAAAAAAACCTCAGTATGAAGGTGTCAAACCTTGAAGTTTGCCTTGAACACCTTAATTGTAGGATCTTAACTGTGGTAAGAGTTTTTAACCTTTTTTAAAAAATTTATTTAAATGACAATAAGAAACGTAATGAAAAGGGAAGAAATGGAAGTTTGTGAGATATATAATATGATATGTATTCATAGGAGAATACATCTTGAAGAAAGAGGGGGAAGAGTGCACCAAAGAAGGATTGGTTCAAGAAAATAACACTTAATCCAAATAAATTAATAGTGTGTGATTTTTTTGGCAACAGCCATTTATTCTTTTGTCTGATGGTAACAACGCTATTGCCCAAACGTCTACACACTATTAATTTATTTTGGAATAGGTCTTATTTTCTTATATCTATAATCTAAATTGTGCTTTATCAAGGATTGATTCAAAAATCTGATAGAATAAAGGGGGGTTGGTATAAAATACAAAGAGGTGAAGAGAATTGATGGTAACTGTGTATCAGAAATGGCTTTACTAAATGATAGAGAATAAAAACATAAGGTAACAATACCAAAAGTTGACGAAATGCTAGTCAGATTTTTGATAACAGTTTTGTTACCCATCATCAGACAAAATACAAATTAATAAAATGTGATGTTTTGGTAACAAAATTGTTTTAAAAACTGTGTAAACTTAATATGATAAATCACAATTTGGATTATAGATTATAGATACAAGAAAATAAGACCTAATCCAAATAATTTAATAGTGTGTGACCTTTCGGCAACAGCATTGTCACCATCATCAGACAAAAGAATAAATGGATTTTTTAATAGCGTTTATTCTTTTGTCTGATGATGGTGACAATGCTGTTGCGGAAACGTCACACACTATTATTTGGATTAGGTCTTATTTTCTTACGTATTTAACTAGCAGCATTATTACTATCCATAAGGATCCCTGCCTAGATGGTTAACTAATAGGGATTGCTGAAGCCAAGATTATAAGTCCTATTATATCATTAGTATCAATTAACAGTTTATTTTTACCCACAAATTATAGTGCGAGGTCGACAGAGACATGATGGTATATAGAAGGAAGTAGGGACAGAGTGAATTTCCAGAGTTTTGAATAGATGTGTGGCTAAAGGAAAGTAATTTGCATAGTTATATGTAAATATTGTGGCAGTTTTCAACTGAATTTTTGTTTTGTTTATCCCTAGTACACGTGTTAGAGGCCATTGATAATCATGGTAGGTAGAAGAAGGCGACTTGCTTTTACTGTAAGTGTACCACATGTCTACACATGTGAAAAGCAGTTCGAATGTTAAAACTGATAATAAAAGTGCTAGTGTGTCTTCTATAGGAATAAAATTGCTCAATAATTTTGCAGAGAGATTGATTTGCAGAGAGAATAAATATGGCATCAACCCAGTTTTTTTGTTACCCAATTCAGTGCAGCTGTGTAACAAGCTCTGTCATTGTTACCATCGAGTTTGTGGGAATTCTAAGATACCAAACAGAAGAGATTTTCTCAAACATTAGGCAAGAATAAAAGAATTCAATCCCTTTATTATATCAAATTAATATGTAAAACCTCATACATTCGTCCGGGCAATATGTTTCTTGATATAAAAGATATGGCCCTCTAGCTTTCGGTTCTTAAAGCCCTTCAACAAGAGAGAACATGACAAAATAAATCTGAAATTATGTTTTAAAAGATAGATAAGGCACAATTTGGATTATAGATTATAAACACAAGGTAATAAGACCTAATCCAAATAAATAAATAGTGTGTGACGTTTCGGTAACAGCGTTGTTACCATCTTCAGACATTCAGTACTTTTGTCTGAAGATGGTAACAACGCTGTTACCGAAACGTCACACACTATTTTTTTATTTGGATTTGGTCTTATTACCTTGTGTTTTAAAAGATATTTTATTGTTTTCTTCCCCCTATAGATATATATATTTATTTTTTTTTAAATAGTGCAGACTGTGCACTTTGCATGTATTGACAAGATGTCAATAAAATTATTGTAATTGTATAGAAGGACTTTCAGACCAGAAAGCAAGAGATTCATTATCAACATTTTTTTTTTTAAGAAACGTATCTCCTGAAAAGCCTGATTATTACATCTCAAGAATAAACGAATCAAAATTGACTGACACAGCATTTGAAAAAAAAATAGTACATACATAAATTTATTCTGATAGATGGCACAAGCCATCAGCAACTTTAAGTTGCATAATCAGGAGATGCCTTTTACAGTGGAACTCTCTCTATATAATAACATCCCTTGAAACCAAAATTTTATTGTGTTGTTATAACCAGGTTGTGTTAAAACAGTTGGGACCTTAAAAATATGATGTTATGTTGAAGAAGGAACAAAAGTTTTCGGCAACGAGTTTCTTTTATTAATGCTGTAAATTCGGCAAGCTTAATAATAAAAAACTATTATAGACGCGTAGGATTCTTTTAAAAAATAAACAATTTCAACTGCCCTTACTGCAATGGAAAAATTAATGAATCATACGCGTCTATAATAGTTTCAAATTTTCATAACAGATGGCGCGCTATTGCAAGATAATATTTAAGTTTTCATTTCTATTTGCTTACTCACGATGACAATAAAATTAATCTGGAATCTCGTTATAGCACAATTTGGATTATAGATTATAATAAAAGAAAATAAGACCTAATCCAAATAATTTATTAGTGTGTGACGTTTCAGCAACAACATTGTCACCATCATCAGACAAAAGAATAAATGGGAAAAAATATCACAGCAAGTTCTTAAATAGTACTGTTATCTTGTTTAAACACTTGATAACAGTACTATTTAAGAGAGTGTCGGTGGAAGGCTGGTTAAACCGTTTGGTTTTCGACCACTACGATTCGATTCCCGCATTGGACACACTTTTTTCTGTATAAAAAAAAATAATTTAAAAATGCTCCAATGGCCCCCGATTTTTGCAAAAGTCCAACCCCACCAGCGAGTGCAAGTAAACAAACGGGGCTCTGGCACATTTGTAAG